AGGGCACAGCAGTGGTGAAATCAAATGGCCAGACTGAAGGGCTAAAGTCAGGTTGACAGGAATGAAGTCGATTTAGCTGGCCTGCTGATGCCGAACTGCAGTGAAGATGAATGCACAGGCTACGGATGAAGAAAGGGGACGTTTAAATAGGCAGAACTGGGGCCCGTCGTCTGGAAGTGGAGGAATGTGAATTCTTTCGTTTGGTACGGGGAGACCACTGGACCGGGAAACCTTTAAAAAATTACTTGTGAGAAAATGGGCTTTGAATAATACTGGGAGATGGAAGCATAGAAGAAGGGGAGATATGTAAAGACTATTAAAACATACTTATAATTTCAGACCGAAATTTTACAACAGCGAGGAAAGTAGCTGTATCTAACAAGTATAAAAAAAAAAAGTTTTAAAAAAACTGAAAAAGATGCGCGAACCCGTTTTGCAAAAAAAAAAAAAAAAATCCCAGAATTACAGGACAATTTGAATGTAAAACACTAATTTGTATGCAAATCATAATTTTGATATGCGTTCTGACAAATTTTGGCTCACCAAAAACGTACAGGTATCTGCAGCTGGCACCATATTTCGCTAAAACCCCAGTCTCTCTCTCTCATGTTTCGTTATCGCTGCCCCATACTTTAAGGCCATTTTCAATCATCGGATAAGGATCCCTGCGACTATTTATATGGAATATGCCATAATTCACATACACATACACATACATACATACATATATAAATACACAAACACACATATAAACACACACACATACAAAGACACACAGACACGCAAACACAAACAAACAAACAAAAAGAGAAAGACAAAACGTATCTTAGATGCGTTTAATATGTGAAATAAAAATTCTCAGAAAGACTGTTTCCTTTAAACATACTGTCACAGTTTTTAACAGGTACTGCCTAGCGACAACCAAAATTCTTCCCAGCTTCCACAGTATGTGAGTAAATGCTCCGACAGAATGCGACAGCGGTGCTTTCCTGAATAATTTTCCCGTTTTCAGCATTTGTAAAAAACTGCTGTAAATGCCGCAAAATTATAAAATATATTAGTAAATGGTTGGGCCGAAAATGACCTGTACCAATTCTGTTAAAAAAAAAAAAAAAAAATCAAAATTCACGTCAAAGTTTCTCGCAAGCAAGCGTAGCGACTGAACTGAAATTTGAAATTTCAAAATTTCGGAGACTTTGCAATCAAATGCCGCGGCACAAAAACTATGCAGAACACCTGGAAGCTACAAAATAGGGAGAAGGTGGGAACGGGGGGGGAGGGGCGGAAAAAACATACACAAACCTGCAACAGCTAAAAGAGTTACATAACGCCACAGTTTCCATTTTGAAAACGATTTTTCGATTTTCTTGATCGCAAGAAGCGCGAAAGACATTTGTTGGCAGTTTTATGATACAGATGCATGGGTTCACCTTTTGCAACACTGCGCATACATACATCAGCACCCGATGCGTACGATCTCACCTGAATCAGTGAAAACTGCCATTACAGGAAACAAAATTCACGTCGTAGGGATTTCACTTTCTCTCGTCATACTCTGCACGCCGCTCATCTGATGGAGAGCTTGACTGTTTATATGGTTATGGAAAGGCACGCCAAACATTTTTCGTTTCATTGTTCTCCCTGTCACAACCAGAACTTGTACTGGACAAAATTAATGAAAATTGGGGGCAAGTACATAGAAACAAAGGGGAATTTTGTGCATTAAAAAAAAAAACAGGGCGGAAAAAAGCGCAAACGTTCACAACATTTTCCACTACGGCTCATCGTCAAAACACACACACACACAAAAAAAAAACACTCACTTTTAACTTCAAGGCTGATGGCAGTGGCAGGCGATAGATAGCATGGACGTTTGAAATGTTTTTTACAATTATCCGAGAGCATAAATCTTGCAGTGAAGCAACTAAAAAATTTCGCGTTAATCTAAACATTTTTGCTATATGACATGATACATGTCGTTCTATCCCTCTGTGAAATGTTAGAGCTTGAGACGATCGAGGATGTTTCACGCGGATCAAGCAAACATGGAAGGAGATATGAACGAAATTTTATTCGCATCACCGCTCAGTCAATTCGTAAAAGTGCCTTTTTTTATTCAGGAATGACAAATTTCAAGATTTTTTGGCCTAGAAATGATGTATATGGATTTTACTTATACATCTTGACGGAGGATCTGAAGGCGGTATGCATAGTGTTTTGTGGATATGGATGACGACTCTGCCGAGTTGATAGGCTCGTAAACTCAACGGCTTGAGTTTAAGATTCCATACGGGTACTTCCTCATCTTATCAGCCATTTCAACACCTAACTACTAGTTTACTAAATTAAATAAAAATGCAAATAATTTGCAAAAATTTTTCGTTCTTTTTGAGAAACCAGGGCATTTTCCCGCTTCGTTGACGGGGGTACAGCTATGGCGCAGGCATATGGCACATGTAATTCAACTGACTGAAGTCTAAACTCCGCTCCGTTTACCTCATTTTAATTTTATCCCTCTCATATAACCAGCTGTAAAATTTTAATTCTTCAAATCCTCATTTTGTTAAGAATATTCTAGCAAGCAGTTCAGCAATATTAAATTCAGAGGAAGCAAAGAGCAGAGCAATCCCAATAATCACAAAAAATGGTATCAAGAAAAAAAAAACAGCTCGGAGCTGTAGAAAAAAAAAAAAAAACCTTGCGATTTTCTCCACAGGCGACGCATCCCATTCCTCGAAATCACAAGACGCGCAAGTTCCGTGATACTTTCATACACATTGAAATAAGCCAAAGCTGATATCTACAAAATTTAATGGTAGTGCAAGCAGTGACTAGCAATAATCCCCCCTCCCCTGCCTCCTCCTCCGTTCCCCCGCCCCCACTACCTCCCCC